CCTAAGCTAACAACACCAGAGTAAGCAGAGTCAGAAACACTAGAGTCAACAACAGCATACATAGCATGGGGAGTACCAATCAGATCAACTAACTGCTCAGCAGACATGCCCCACAGAGCGGAGCCGTAGCGCTGAACAAGAGGCAGCCAGTCAGGGGCAGGAGCACCAACCCCGTAGACCAAACGAACCGTGTCAGTGAGCTGAGCAAAGCACTGACCAGGGGGGTGAAACCGGCCACAAGGGTGGCCACGACGAGGGCCTGTCAGAACCTGGTAGGTGCAGGGAGTGTAAGCAGCACCACGCTGGGTCTGACGCAGCCCCGACCCTGGAGCCAGCTGCTGCCGCTGCTGCTGCTGAGGCTGCTGGGAGGAGAGGGGCTGCTGGTGCTGCAGAAGCTGCTGCTGACGCTGAGCCTGGTACCACGCCGCTGCTCCACCAACCGGGGCAGGAAGTACAGGAGGCGACTGACGAACTCGGGCGTCGCCACCACCAGCAGGCGCAGTGGAGTCACCAGTCACTGCACGAGGCGCCTCTCCAGGCCCTGAACCTCCACCGCTGCCAGGCGCAACGCCACCTCCACTACCTCCGCCTCCACCTCCACTACCACCACCAGAACCGCCTTTCTTGCCACTCCTACCGCGGGACCGCGACGCAGTCGTAACAGCAGCTGCAGTCGCGTCAGTAGCGGCAGTGGCAAGTGAGGCAGTAAAGGTGGGTAACTGCGGGACTGTGCACCCGTGGAAGAGTGGGGGGGGCACAGCACCAGAGGCAGCGGCTACCGAGCGAAGGTTGCTCTCGACGTCCTTGAGTGTAGACTCAAGGACATCGACGGTGAGCTCACTAGGGTGCTTCAGCAGAAGCGCGTCGCGAACGGAGGCAAGGCGGTCAGGGAGGCTAGTGGCGATGAAATAGATAGTAATCGCCATAGGGGGAGGAAGCAGTGCAAGCTGTGCCTCAGTGCAAGCAGCGCGGTAACTAGCGTCGAGCGAGCGGAGGTGAGCGATCAAGTCAGCAGAGCGCTCAAAAGACGCTAGGTCAGGAAACAGGAACGGGAGGAACAGGCGGCCAAGAGAGACAGCAGCGGGAGAAGAGTAGCGGGCCTTAATCGCAGTGAGGTACTCAGCAGCGGTGCGAACCTGAGTGAAGTGAACCTCCTCAGACTCAGGGAGGAGGCTGCTGAGCGCGATGCAGGCCGCAGCGTCACGTGACGTCCAAGCCGTCTGGTCAGCTCGCTGAGTGGCAAAGCGGGCTCTAGCGGCGTCGTCAGGGGCAGGTCCTAAAGGCGTAGGGTCGGGGGGCGCAGGGAGGGCACCAGTAGCGTGCGCCCAGAGGGTCTCGCCTGCCTGGACCTGACTCTCTAACAGACGGCGAGCACGAAGAAGCCAGACGGAAAAATCAAGAGGTCTACCGTCAGCGTCGAAACGAAGCACACGCGGAGTCGCCATAGCGAGAACTAACGCTAGGGATACAGTGGCAGCGGAAGAGCAGGCTAGGGTTAAGACGACGGGCTGGGGAAAGGGGCGAGACGCTACAGGGGAAAGGGCGGGCCGCTACAGGGGAAAGGGACGCGACGAGGGGGAAAGGGCGGGCAGGACGCGACGGGGGGGAAAGGCGCGACGCGACGGGGGGGAAAAGGCGCGACGCGACGGGGGGGAAAAGGCGCGACGCGACGGGGGGAATGGGCGGCGACGCGACGGGGGGAACGGGCGCGACACGACGTGGGGGGGGGGGGGAACGCGACGCGACGGGGGGTAAGGGCGGGCTCTACGGAACGGTGGGAACGGGTGGCGCGGACGGGCGCTAGGATTGGCGCTAGGCTCGGCACTACGCGCTAGGAATGAGAGCTAGGATCAGGCTCGGGAGGCTCGAACGGAGAACGGAGGAACGGGATCCCACAGGATCCTAACCTAACTGATACCATGTCAAAATGAAGAATGGATGATGCATTGATGTTGGTTGGGGTACATATAGCTAACCCTAAGTTTTGTACCCCCTAAGACAAACCTCACTATAGGCTACAACATTTGACACCATGGCACATGTCTCCCAACACACCATACCGTATCACACAACCCATGGCATGCATGTCCCAGCAAACCATGCTGTACACAACCCAGGCACATGTCTCCCAGGACACCATGTCATGTTACATAACCCATGGCACATGTCTCCCAGCACACAATGCCGTATTACACAACCCATGGCTAGCATTGCATGTCCTAGCACACCATGCCGTATTACATAAACCATGGCACATATGCAGCCGTTGTGGGCCATATACGTTATTAAATGGTAGAATGAATGAAGTGTGTGCTGAGGGTGCTGACGTGGCGCTGGTTGAAGCGCCCCACCACCGGGGGCAGGCAGCTGTAGCAGGCAACGCAGAGATCAAAGCCCACTCTCTCGGGGCAGTCAAGGCATCTGTAGCGCGCCCCCACTATGGGGAAGGCCTGAGGGGGGGATACAGCTGGATACATGCATACGGGACATGGGTGGTGCTCAAAACATATGGACCAGTTTCGAGTGGCGGACCGAGGCTCCCCTTGCACTGCCGCTGCAGATGCTTTCAGCTCCCCACCTCCACCGCGCCACACACCTGACGCCACTCCTCCTGGCCAGGTCTGAGCACCCCTTGGCCAAACGCAGCAACTTACGCAAATCCCTACAGGCACTCCGAGCCACCCTGAACCAGCCCCAACTCAGAGGAGACCTGACGACACCTGGCTCAATCTGAGCACCTGACGACACCTGGCTCGATCTGAGCACCTGACGACACCTGGCTTGATCTGAGCACCTGATGACACCTGGCTCGATCTGAGCACCTGATGACACCTGGCTCGATCTGAGCACCTGATGACACCTGGCTCGATCTGAGCACCTGATGACACCTGGCTCGATCTGAGCACCTGACAACACCTGGCTTGATCTGAGCACCTGATGACACCTGGCTCGATCTGAGCACCTGATGACACCTGGCTCGATCTGAGCACCTGATGACACCTGGCTCGATCTGAGCACCTGATGACACCTGGCTCGATCTGAGCACCTGATGACACCTGGCTCGATCTGAGCACCTGATGACACCTGGCTCGATCTGAGCACCCGACGACACCTGGCACGATCTGAGCACCTGATGACACGGCAAGATCTGAGCATGGAGGTGGAATGGCACCACTTGGTGGCCTACCCGCTGTCAGTATAGGCCTTTACCGCCTCATTGGGAAAGTGAATCCTATCCTCAAATCAGCAGGAGGAAATTAACACTTCACACCGCTGCAATTTGGCATCGCCATCCCTGGCAGCAGGGCAGGGAAAAGGCAAATCATACCGCTGCTTGGACCTACCTGGACGCCCACCCATACCACCTTCTCTTCCAGGTGAACCTGGCTAATGCGTCCAATGCCATTCAGTTTTGAGACGTCTTAAAACCACGTCGTCCTCCAGGTGGATCTGGCTATTCAATGCCACTGAACGAGCAGTGGTGTTCGAGGGGCTGCGCAACATACCTCTGGAGTTCCTGTTTCCCTTCACCTCTGGGCTACACGCCTAGGCTCTCCTACATCCACCTCGCAGCAGACCCGCTCTCCAGCGCGTCGCTCGCGGCGTTTGTCAGGGCGGCCCCATGAGTCCCCTCCTCTCCGCCACCGGCCTTCATCCCCACAGGGAAAGAGTCACCTCGACGCCTCTCAGCGGACCCGCTCTCCAGCGCGGCGCCCACGGAGTCCCTCAGGGCGACCCCATGCCCGTGAGTCCCCTCCTCTTCGCCGCTGGCTTTCACTCCCACCTGCAAATCTATTGCAGCGATGGCATCACATTGATGCGACCCGCGACACACCTCTGCAAGTTCCTGCACAGCCGCCTTCATGCGACCTGGTTGGCTTGCTCCCTTCATGCGACCTCTGCCACACTGCCGCTAAGTGCGAGGCTTGGTGCTCGGAGCCAGTGGCGGCGGGCCACCGGCTCCAAGTCCCCGAGTCCCCCACTGCGACCTCTTGCGAAGTCCTACAAGTCCACCCCCCCCTCAGAACAGAGCTTCGGGGAGGAAAACCCTTGTTTTTGTGGGAGAAACAGCTTTTCAAAACCGGGGGTTCGAGGGGGGATGGGAGGGTGGGAGGAGGAAATGATTTCAAGGGGGTGGGCTCAAATCCAATCAGCTCGGTGGTGCTTGGAGCTGGTGGCGGCAGGCCGCCTACCAGCCAGCCGGGATCACGCTCTGCGTGCAAGGCCTCTGCATACTGGGTAGCCCCGTGGGCCCTTTTGAGTCGACTCAAAAGTCACAGCGGGCTGCCTACCAGCCATCCGTGGATCAAGGGGATCACGCTCTGCGTGCAAGGCCTCTGCATACTGGGTAGCCCCGTGGGCGCCGACGATTTCTGAGGCGCCTCAAAAAAACGTTGCCTACCAGACCAGTCGGTATCACGCTCTGCGCGCAAGGCCTCCGCACACAAGGCTTCTGCATACTGGGCAGCCCCGTGGGCCCCGAAGCAGCCTGCTCTGCCTTCATTTGGGAGCGCGTAAACACGGCATCGGTGAGACAGAAGAAGAGCTCCCTCCTGCTGCTCTCCTGGCCCACATGCATCCCCACAGCTCCCTCCTGCTGCTCTCCTGGCCCACATGCATCCCCACAGCTCCCTCCTGCTGCCTCTCCCGACGCGTTAGCAGAGAAGCTTCCTATCTGCTACGTTCCACAACCCCAGGTTGCCTCCCTGTGGGGGACTGGTCCGCTTGAGGGGAGCGTTTCCTCCACACGGTGCTTGAACCCTGCCACGTTCACGCCCTCAGGGGAAGGGCAGAGAAGGCCCGCATCAGAACCAGGCCTCCCTTCCCACCACCCTTGGGGGCCTTGGCATTACTGACCCAGCTACCGAAAGCGCATCCTGCTACCTCTCCTCTGCCCTGGCTGCTTGATGCCCGCCACCTTCACACCCGCAGAGGGAGGGCAGAGAAGGCTCTCATCTGGACCAGGCCTCCCTTCCCACCAACCTTAGAGGGCCTCGGCATTACTGACCCAGCTGCCAAAAACGCTTCTCGCCCCTCTCAACCTTCTCACCCCTCTCAACCTTCTCACCCCTCTCAACCTTCTCACCCCTCTCAACCTTCTCACCCCTCTCAACCTTCTCACCCCTCTCAACCTTCTCACCCCTCTCAACCTTCTCACCCCTCTCAACCTTCTCACCCCTCTCAACCTTCCCACCCCTCTCAACCTTCGCCTTCCCACCCCTCTCAACCTTCTCACCCCTCTCAACCTTCCCACCCCTCTCAACCTTCTCACCCCTCTCAACCTTCTCACCCCTCTCACCACTCTCATCCATTCCACCACTTTCACCCATCCCACCCATCCCACCCATCCCACCCATCCCACCCACCCCACCCACCCACATGAGAACTGTTTTGAGCTTGTTTTGAGACGTCTCAAAACACATCCTAATCTGGCGAGCTTGTTTTGAGACGTCTCAAAACACATCCTAATCTGGCGAGCTTGTTTTGAGACGTCTCAAAACACATCCTAATCTGGCGAGCTTGTTTGAGACGTCTCAAAACACATCCTAATCTGGCGAGCTTGTTTTGAGACGTCTCAAAACACATCCTAATCTGGCGAGCTTGTTTTGAGACGTCTCAAAACACATCCTAATCTGGCGAGCTTGTTTTGAGACGTCTCAAAACACATCCTAATCTGGCGAGCTTGTTTTGAGACGTCTCAAAACACATCCTAATCTGGCGAGCTTGTTTTGAGACGTCTCAAAACACATCCTAATCTGGCGAGCTTGTTTTGAGACGTCTCAAACCTAATCTGGCGAGCTTGTTTTGAGACGTCTCAAAACACATCCTAATCTGGCGAGCTGCACCTCCACCCCCCTCCACAACCAGCTCTGCCTCAAGAGCGGACGGCAAGGAGGGCGAGAAGGTCCCCATGGCCCTCTCCTCCTCCTGCAGCGCAGCACGTCTCTCTCTGGCGAGCTGCACCACTATTCCCCTCCACAACCAGCTCTGCCTCAGCAGGGAGGGCGTAAGAGGCGGGGGGGATGTGGAGGGCATAAGAGGCGGGGGGGATGTGGAGGGCGAGAAGGCCCGTGGCCCTCTCCTCCTCCTCCTGCAGCACAGCACGTCTCTCTCTGGCGAGCTGCACCACCATTCCCCTCCACAACCAGCTCTGCCTCAAGAGCGGACGGCAAGGAGGGCGAGAAGGTCCCCATGGCCCTCTCCTCCTCCTGCAGCGCAGCACGTCTCTCTCTGGCGAGCTGCACCACTATTCCCCTCCACAACCAGCTCTGCCTCAGCAGGGAGGGCGTAAGAGGCGGGGGGGATGTGGAGGGCGTAAGAGGCGGGGGGGATGTGGAGGGCGTAAGAGGCGGGGGGGATGTGGAGGGCGAGAAGGCCCGTGGCCCTCTCCTCCTCCTCCTGCAGCACAGCACGTCTCTCTCTGGCGAGCTGCACCACCATTCCCCTCCACAACCAGCTCTGCCTCAGCAGGGAGGGCGCGGTGGCCGTAAGAGGTCGTAAGAGGCTGGGGGGGGAGGGGGGGGGGGGGGGGAAACGGAAATCAGGATGGTGCCCCGTGGCCCTCTGCTCCTCCTGGGCGACGTCTCTTTGGCGCGCTGCGCCACCACCACTTCCCCCTGGCGCTATGTCAACATCATGCAGGGAAGGCAACAAGGGCGAGATGGCGCCCATGGCCCTCTCCTCCTCCTGCAGCACAGCACGTTTCTCTCTGGCGCGCTGCACCACCATTCCCCCGCACGACTCTGCCTCAGCAGGGAGGGCGCTGTGGCCATGGGAGGGAGTATTAGGCGCAGGGGGATTAGAGGTCAAGATGGTGGCCCATGGCCCTCTGCTCCATCTTAAGGCCATGCGGTGCAGAGAGGGCGTATTAGGCGCAGGGGGATAAGAGGTCAAGATGGTGCCCCGTGGCCCTCTGCTCCTCCTGAGCGACGTCTCTCTGGTGCGCTGCACCACCACCACTTCCCCCTGGCACCCATCGCCCTCTCCTCCTAAAGCACATTCCTCTGGCGCGCTGCACCACCACCACTTCTCCCTGGCGCCGTGTCAGTGTCATGCAGGGAAGGCGCGGAGGGCGATAAATGCGCCCCATGGCCCTCTCCTCCTCCTGATCGACGTCTCTCTGGCGTGCTGCAACACCACCACTCCGGGAGTGGCACTCCCCCCTAACGCCATGTCAGCAGTATGCAAGAAGGGCGGGAAGGCGCCCATGGCCCTCTCCTCGTGCAGCACGCCCCTGGGGCACCATCATCCAGCTCTGCCTCAAGAGCGGAGGGCAAGAAGGGCGAGAAGGTCACCATGGTCCTCTCCTCCTGCAGCACGTCCCTCTTTGATGCGCTGCAGCAGCACCACTCCCCCCTGGCACCGTGTCCGCCGCGTCATGCAGGCAACAAGGACGAGAAGGCGCCCATGGCCTTTTCCTCCTCCTGAGCGGCGTCGCTTTGGCGCGCTGCACCACCACCAATTTTCCCTGGCGCCGTGTCAGCATCAAGCAGGGAGGGCAAGAAGGTCAAGAAGGTGCCCCTATGGCCCTCTCCTCCTCCCAGCACGTCCCTCTCTGGCGAGCTGCACCTCCACCCCCCTCCACAACCAGCTCTGCGTCAAGAGCGGAGGGCATGAAGGGCGAGGATGGCGAGAAGAGAAGGTCCCCATGGCCCTCTCCTCCTGCAGCACGTCCCTGAGGCGCGCGCAATAGTCCGCGAGGAAGGCGGCAGAGAGGAAACAGTGCAGCCGGCAGCAGACAGCGGGGAAGGCTGTGGCGGGCGCGGGCGATGAGAAGGCCATGGGGAAGGGAAGTGTGCGGTAGTCGGTGAGAAAGGCGGTGGAGAGGAAGCGGTGCAGCAGGCAGCAAGCACACCCCGAGGAAACCGTGGGGGGTGCGGGGGGCGAGAAGGCCGCGGGGAAGGGAAGTGCGCGGTAGTAGTCGATGAGGAAGGCGGTGGAGAGGAAGCGGTGCAGCGGACCAGAAGCAGTAAGGAGTTGAGGAGAAGTAAGGAGTAAGCATGGCAGGGCAGGGCAGAGCAGCGGCAAATGGCACGGTGCGCATGCGCACCATGGGGCAGGCAGCGGCTCTTAGCGGCTCCTAGCAGCTCTTAGCGGCTCGCTGTAGGGCGTCATGGCACGGTGCACCGCATGTGCACCAGAAGAAGACAACACGCGGCTGCACGCTGATGGGGGAAAAGTGCGGGGGGGGGGGAGGGGGGGGAGCGGGGAAGGGAGAGGTGGATGGTTGAGAATCTTGGCAGCAGGCAGGGCTCTCGCTGTAGGGCGCCATGGCGCGATGCACGCAGCAGAAACAAACACGTGGCCGCACGCTAAGGGGGGAAGGGGAAGTGGGGGAGAGGTGGGGAGTGGGGAGGAGTGGGGAAGGGGAAGATGGAGAGGCGGGTAGGGAGTAAGCATGGCAGCGGCACATGGCACGGTGCAGCAGCAGAAGCAGAGCACGTGGCTCATGCTGAGAGGAAGGGGGGTGAGGGGAAGGGGGAGAGGCGGGTAGGGGGAAGGGGAAGTGGGGGAGAGGCGGGTAGGGAGTAAGCATGGCAGCGGCACATGGCACGGTGCAGCAGCAGAAGCAGAGCACGTGGCTCATGCTGAGAGGAAGGGGGGTGAGGGGAAGGGGGAGAGGCGGGTAGGGGGAAGGGGAAGTGGGGGAGAGGCGGGTAGGGAGTAAGCATGGCAGCGGCACATGGCACGGTGCAGCAGCAGAAGCAGAGCACGTGGCTCATGCTGAGAGGAAGGGGGGTGAGGGGAAGGGGGAGAGGCGGGTAGGGGGAAGGGGAAGTGGGGGAGAGGCGGGTAGGGAGTAAGCATGGCACGGCACATGGCACGGCACATGGCACGGCACATGGCACGGCACATGGCACGGCACATGGCACGGTGCACGCAGCAGAGGCAGAACACGTGGCCCATGCTGAACGGGGTTATGGGGGAGTTAAGAAGGGGAGAAAGGGTGGTGAGAAGGGAAGGAGAGGCACGCACGTATGCGCGCATGGCTGGGCATATGCATGCATGTCTGGGCGTATGCATGCATGGCTGGGCGTATGCATGCATGGCTGGGCGTATGCATGCATGGCTGGGCGTATGCAATCATGGCTGGGCATATGCAATCATGGCTGGGCGTATGCAATCATGGCTGGGCGTATGCAATCATGGCTGGGCGTATGCAATCATGGCTGGGCGTATGCAATCATGGCAGGGCGTATGCAATCATGGCTGGGCGTATGCAGTCATGGCTGGGCGTATGCAATCATGGCTGGGCGTATGCAATCATGGCTGGGCGTATGCAATCATGGCTGGGCGTATGCAATCATGGCTGGGCGTATGCAATCATGGCTGGGCGTATGCAATCATGGCTGGGCGTATGCAATCATGGCTGGGCGTATGCAATCATGGCTGGGCGTATGCAATCATGGCTGGGCGTATGCAATCATGGCTGGGCGTATGCAATCATGGCTGGGCGTATGCAATCATGGCTGGGCGTATGCAATCATGGCTGGGCGTATGCAATCATGGCTGGGCGTATGCAATCATGGCTGGGCGTATGCAATCATGGCTGGGCGTATGCAATCATGGCTGGGCGTATGCAATCATGGCTGGGCGTATGCAATCATGGCTGGGCGTATGCAATCATGGCTGGGCGTATGCAATCATGGCTGGGCGTATGCAATCATGGCTGGGCGTATGCAATCATGGCTGGGCGTATGCAATCATGGCTGGGCGTATGCAATCATGGCTGGGCTGGGCGTATGCAATTATGGCTGGACGCACGAGGCCTCTGCACAGCGGCTAGCAGCTCTCTCGGAAAAGGCCGTCTCGGCTCCATCCACTGTGCCATGATCCACCGTCTCTGAGGTCGTCCGAACCGCACTGCACCGCACAGAACATTCGGATACCAAAAGGTGTTCAAGCTCTCCCTGGCTCATGAAAACCTAATGGCAGGAAAGGCGCGCTCGCTCTAAGACCAATCATGTTACCCTTATGTTTCCAGCAACATTTTAGTGAAATGTGGTGTGTCGGTTCCTGCTGCCTGGTGCGGTTTCATTTAAGTGTCATATGTCTATTTGACACAAGGGGAATGTGACCGGCGTTTTAAGTCGACTCAAAACACTTTAGCGAAGTGTGGTGTCGCGGTTCCTGCCTAGAGCGGTTTCATTGGAGTGTGGTATGGCTATTTGAGACAAAGGACAAGTGAGCGGCAGATAAGCAGTCCGTTGCTCGCAGAGGAGCAGGAAGCAGCGAGCAGGGAGGAGGGAGCAGGGAGGAGGGAGGAGGGAGCAGGGAGGAGAGAGCAGAGAGCAGGGAGCAGAGAGCAGAGAGCAGGGGGGAGGGAGGAGGGAACACGACAGTTGCGCGAGCAGGGAAGTTGCGAGGTGACAATGTGGGAGATTTCAACATCCCACCGACCTGGGTTGATGCAAAGAGGACAGCCAAGGGTGGTCGAGTCTCATCACGGCATGGGATTCACGACACCCGCATAATTGGAGGCACTCAATCCGACTTTTCCCGCATCAGTCGATTCGATTCTGATCGTTGAGGAAATGGCGCCATAAGTGCTTCGTCAAGGTCGGGCTTTGAGAGGATACGTGGGTAGCGCGCAGTTAACGAAAGAAACGCACCGTCAAGGACGGGCTTGAAGACCAGATCGCGGTACACAGGAGAAAGAAGCCGTCCACTGAGAGGTTAAAGCCGGCGCCTAGAATGGCAAGGGTTCAAAATTACTGACCTTGAAAAGTATTGTACGAAGGTTGACGAGAGGAAAATTCGCGAGAGGCTGGTGGCGAAAGCGGAATGCCCCAGCTTCATTCGCAACATTCAAAATTCAACTTCAGGAAACTTGAACAAGCAGCAACGACAAAACAAAACCCAACCACGCTCACGCAGCTCACAACTCAGATTTTCGCCCAAAGTCCAGAAGCGCACTCTAAAAGCGTGCGTGCAGATAGAAAGAACAGCAGTTTAGGAAACTAAGTGTCCAGAAAAAAATAGCTGGGTATAACATGAGAGAAAATTTACGCTGCGGCCGGAATCGAGAGGAATCAAAGGCCCGAGGGAGGGAATGTGGCGCGTATGCGAGTGTGAAGCACCGTGCTTCAATCTATCCCCGCCCGTCGCTCTAGCTTCCCCCTCCCGTCGCCCTCGCCTTCCCCCTCCCGTCGCCCCCCCTTCCCCCTCCCGTCGCCCTCGCTTCCCCCTCCCGTCGCCCTCGCTTTCCCCCTCCCGTCGCCCCCGCTTTCCCCTCTCATCCCCCTCCCATCCCGCTCCCATCCCCCTCCCATCCCCCTCCCATCCCGCTCCCATCCCCCTCCCATCCCCCTCCCATACCCCTCCCATCCCGCTCCCATCCCCCTCCCATCCCCCTCCCATCCCCCTCCCATCCCCCTCCCATCCCGCTCCCATCCCCCTCCCATCCCCCTCCCATCGCCCTCGGGGGCTGTCGTTTCCCGCCCCACCACCTTCTCTAACACTCCTATTGCCCGTCTTTACCGTCTCCTCCGACTCTCCCACCGTACGCTTCACCCATACCTACATCCTTCCATGGAATAAGTTAACTCTTCCTCCCTCCCTTCCTTCCTCCATACTAGCCTCCCAGCCTAACTAGCTCCCTTTCACCTCGCCTCCCCCATTCATTCATTTCACCTTTCCATTCTTATGTCCAGGGTTCACTCTGTTTCCCCTGCTCATTCGCTTCCCCCTAATCACTCTGTTCTCCTGCCCAGGGAGGTGCGGAGGTGGGAGGGAGCAGCACAGGGGGAGTGGGGTAGTTGTGTGTACGGAAGTGGGAGCAGCACGGGTGAGAGTCGGAAGAAACAGCGCAGGCCGAAGGGAGATGGAAGGGAGGGCGGCAAGTAGGAAAAGATGGCAGAGGCGGAGAGGAGATCAGGGGGGGGAAAGGACGGGGAGAGATGGGCTGAGGGTGAAGACAGTAGACAGGCTGCACTGTGAGGGACGGAGGGGAAAACCCTATCAGGGCAAAGTGAGACGGAGGGAAGAGAGGCACAGCTGGGGAGAAGAAGGGCAGGTTAGGAAGGAGGAAGTGTGGCTAGAAGGGTGTGGAGTGGAAGAGCGGGAAGCATGAGTACGTGATGAGAGGAGAGAGGGACGGGTGTGAGTGAGCGAAGCGTGTGAGAGGGTGTGAGAGCTAAAGGCCTTGTGTTTGAGAAGGAGTGTGTATGAGGGGTGTCGGAGAGACGTTGGAAGTCTTCTCACACCTGCAGCAGGGGAGGAGATGAGTGCGGGGAAGTGGAGAGGGGCTGTTTTGGAAGTAGCCAGCGGTATACATGCACACTTACTTGCGCACCTGCAGGCTGTAGGGGGAAGAAGGGGATGGGGGGAGGGGAGAAAGGAGAGGGAGGGAAAGAGCGGGGATGGCGCAGAGGGGAACCGGCGGGAAGGCCAAGGTGGGAAGATCTCGCACAACGTGTGCACACCTGAGCAATCTATGTCGCATGGGTGGCACGGGAATACCCTAAGTGAGAGGGGTCGAAACTTTTGTATTGTACAACTGTGCGCAATCACCGTCGCCACACATTTCTTCACGCTGCGCAACCCTCACACTTTCATCACCAACCAAGCTCCCCTTTCCCTCCCCCCCCCTTCTCTCTATCCACATTCCTACTCCCCCTCCCCCCCCCCTCTTCCCCCCCCCCCCCCGCCCTTTTTCCCCCCTCCCCTCTCCCAGCCCTCTCCCAGCCCCCTGTCAGCCATCCCCCAGCCCTCTCTTTCCCCTCCCCCACATCTCCCTCCCCCCCGCCCATTGCCCGCACCTCTAGGAAGGCGTAGGATGTCTAGTAGTGGGGCACAAGCCAGCCGGATCTGCACGCACCGTTACGCGCGGCAGGCACGCGGAGGTTGGTGCTTCCTAGGTTGGCGCATGGCGGGATATGGAGGGGAAGGAGGGAGGAAGCAGGGAGGGGGGTGAGCGAAGCCCGCGAGTGACGAAGAAAGGCAATGGACGACCAAAGGGGGACAGCAGGAACGAGAGCGACAGCAGCAATTGCGGGACGGGAGTTCTTGAGCGACGATAGGGGATAGGGAGTGTGCGACTGGGGAGTGTTCGGAGCGGGCGTGTCAAACGTGAGTGTGTGAGCGACGATGAGGCGATAGCACCGTGTGAGCGGAGGGTTTGAGCGAGCGACGGGAGGGAGAGCGCGACGGGATCGAGTGAGCGATGCGAATGTGGGGCGGAAGGCGAGCGGCGGAGAGGGTCGAATGGAGGGAGGGAAGGGAGGTTACGAGGGAGTCTGAGCCGAGGGTTGTACTGGTCGAGCACGACCTACGATAGCGAAGGGAAGGAATTGCGAGGGCGACGGGAAGGCAAGGCGAGGGTGACGGGAAGGAATCGCGTGGGCGAACGGTAGGAAAAGCGAGGGCGACGTGAAGGGAATGGCGGCGAGCGACGGGTTGGGAGAGCGTGGGCGACACTCAGAGCAAGCGTGGGCGACGGGCGCGGGAAGGGAGCGTAACCTAAAAGGCGACGGGAGGGGAGGCGACGGGAGGGGAGGCGAGTGCAAATCGCGGGGAGAGTTTTGGGCAAGAACTGGGAGGGCGTGGAGCCTAGAGAGCCACGTATACGGATGCAATTACATGTATTGCGAGTGACGGGGAGCGTGTGTGTGGAAAGTGTTCGCGTGGACTCTGCTCGAATCCTAAACGCGTGCGAGCGAGCGATGTCTTTGGAACGCGGAGAATTAGCTGTCTTGTGGACGTTTGCGATAACATGTGCGAATAGGAGGTGCACGTCAGGATTACGAGTGACAGGAGTGAGGGGCGTGAGTAATGCTTCCATTGACCCTATACTAAGTAGAGTGACTGGTGAAAGCCACACATCATTCACGGGATAAAACTGATTCTGAGGGCTATGGAGCCCACTACCATCGAGTCTAGAAAGATATTCTATTGCTCCAAGTTCCGGAAAGGGTGAACAGTAGTTCCAGTTTTGTGTTTTTCTGGCGATGGCTGTGACTGTTGTGGCTGTTGTAGTTTCATCCAATCAAATTCATGCGCTTCAAACACTCCTTTGGGGGCTGCGAGGGGACAATGTTCCAAACCAGGTTACCTGGTTCATTGGCGATTTCCAGTTCAAGAATCTTGAACTTGAAGAGTAGCCATTCTAGACTCGGGCTTTAACGGTTGCGTGTCGCCCAGGCGGACGGTTCGACCACTTCAGAAGTACCCACACTAGAATTAAATCAAAACGAAAACTTTCGAACATGTCGATGTAGTATAATGGTCAGTATCTCCGCCTGTCACGCGGAAGATCCGGGTTCGATCCCCGGCATCGGCGGTTGCGGCTTTGGATAATTTGGTACTGTACATTGTTCTTCACTGTGTTTCGTGATCCAGCATCCCATAAAGCTCTCTTTACCCATTTGTTTTGACCACCCTCCCGCTCGTTCATACGGTAGTCTGTCACATGAATTTTAGAAGTACACACGTGTAATGGAGTCCGGCCAAGCTTTGCCTTCACGTGTTTGGTCCTCAAAAGCTGCGTCAAATCAGTGATATTGTACCAGCATTACAAACAGTCATCCAAAATCAGGTGCCAGATGTGCAGGAAATGTAGCATCATCCGCATCCCAAGCTCCCAGAAATGTACGTTCTTCCAAAAATTCCAACGCAGTAGTCAGCACTCTGAAACTCGGTCAAACTCAACCACGCGGGCTAAATGACGTCCAGCATTCACAAGTAGAATCACTCAACCCGATGCTGCCTTGCCATCACTGCCACCCTGAAAGAAAGACACGAGGCGAGGAATGAATGAGCTGAGACGGATGAACGAGAGGCGAGGGATGAACGAGGGGCGAGGGATGCACGAGGGGCGAGGGATGCATGAGAGGTGAGGGAGTAGATCATGAAGTGTTAACAGGCACAAGTAGAATCACTCAACCCGATGCTGCCTTGCCATCACTGCCACCCTGAAAGAAAGATAAGAGGCGAGGGGTGAATCAGAAGTGAGGGATGAACAAGAGGCGAATTATGAATGAGGTGACCTGCAACCACACAAGTACCAGAATCACTAAACCCAATGCTGCCAGCCCATCACTGCCAGCCTGAAAGAAAGATACGAGGTGAGGGATGAACGAGAGGTGAGGGATGAACGAGAGGTGAGGGATGAACGAGAGGTGCGGGATGAACGAGAGGTGCGGGATGAACGAGAGGTGCGGGATGAACGAGAGGTGCGGGATGAATGAGAGGTGAGGGATGAATGAGGGGTGAGGGATGAATGAGGGGTGCGGGATGAATGAGGGGTGGGAGTGGATCATCAAGTGCTAACTTGCGCATGTCATTGATGATAGCGGAAAAAAGGAAAACCACGAATGTGCATGCTTGGGCATCACATGAACACAAAAGCTCGCATGAATGGACACACCAGCAATGAATGGACTGTTCACGGGAGGAGAAACAGTGGGATGGAATAGAAGGGGGGTGATGGAGCGGATGAGGAGGGGGAAGGGGGGCGGGGGGTGGAGAGGGATGGTGGGAGAGAGAGAGAGAGGGAGAGAGAGAGTGTGAGAGGCAAGGAAAGGAGACAATTTCTCACAGGAGAGCGAGCACGCTAGGGGGACTTGGATTGAGAGCGCGAGCGAGTGCGGGAGCAAGGAGAGCAAGGCAAGGGAGGGGGGCAGAAGCTCACAGGAGAGCAAGGCAAGAGAGGGGAAAGAGAGCTCACAGGAGAGCAAGGCAAGAGAGGGGAAAGAGAGCTCACAGGAGAGCAAGGCAAGAGAGGGGAAAGAGAGCTCACAGGAGAGCAAGGCAAGAGAGGGGAAAGAGAGCTCACAGGAGAGCAAGGCAAGAGAGGGGAAAGAGAGCTCACAGGAGAGCAAGGCAAGAGAGGGGAAAGAGAGCTCACAGGAGAGCAAGGCAAGAGAGGGGAAAGATAGCTCACAGGAGAGCAAGGCAAGAGAGGGGAAAGAGAGCTCACAGGAGAGCAAGGCAAGAGAGGGGAAAGAGAGCTCACAGGAGAGCAATTCAAGAGAGGGGAAAGAGAGCTCACAGGAGAGCAAGGCAAGAGAGGGGAAAGAGAGCTCACAGGAGAGCAAGGCAAGAGAGGGGAAAGAGAGCTCACAGGAGAGCAAGGCAAGAGAGGGGAAAGAGAGCTCACAGGAGAGCGAGCACGCTCAGGGGACTTGGATCGAGAGCGGGAGCAGGAGCGGGAGCGAGAGCGGGAGCGGGAGCGGGAGCGGGAGCGGGAGCGGGAGCGGGAGCGGGAGCGGGAGCGGGAGCGGGAGCGGGAGCGGGAGCGGGAGCGGGAGCGGGAGCGGGAGCGGGAGCGGGAGCGGGAGCGGGAGCGGGAGCGGGAGCGGGAGCGGGAGCGGGAGCGGGAGCGGGAGCGGGAGCGGGAGCGGGAGCGGGAGCGGGAGCGGGAGCGGGAGCGGGAGCGGGAGCGGGAGCGGGAGCGGGAGCGGGAGCGGGAGCGGGAGCGGGAGCGGGAGCGGGAGCGGGAGCGGGAGCGGGAGCGGGAGCGGGAGCGGGAGCGGGAGCGGGAGCGGGAGCGGGAGCGGGAGCGGGAGCGGGAGCGGGAGCGGGAGCGGGAGCGGGAGCGGGAGCGGGAGCGGGAGCGGGAGCGGGAGCGGGAGCGAGAGCGAGAGCGGGAGCGGGAGCGGGAGCGGGAGCGGGAGCGGGAGCGGGAGCGGGAGCGGGAGCGGGAGCGGGAGCGGGAGCGGGAGCGGGAGCGGGAGCGGGAGCGGGAGCGGGAGCGGGAGCGGGAGCGGGAGCGGGAGCGGGAGCGGGAGCGGGAGCGGGAGCGGGAGCGGGAGCGGGAGCGGGAGCGGGAGCGGGAGCGGGAGCGGGAGCGGGAGCGGGAGCGGGAGCGGGAGCGGGAGCGGGAGCGGGAGCGGGAGCGGGAGCGGGAGCGGGAGCGGGAGCGGGAGCGGGAGCGGGAGCGGGAGCGGGAGCGGGAGCGGGAGCGGGAGCGGGAGCGGGAGCGGGAGCGGGAGCGGGAGCGGGAGCGGGAGCGGGAGCGGGAGCGGGAGCGGGAGCGGGAGCGGGAGCGGGAGCGGGAGCGGGAGCGGGAGCGGGAGCGGGAGCGGGAGCGGGAGCGGGAGCGGGAGCGGGAGCGGGAGCGGGAGCGGGAGCGGGAGCGGGAGCGGGAGCGGGAGCGGGAGCGGGAGCGGGAGCGGGAGCGAGAGAGCGGGAGCGGGAGCGGAGCGGGAGCGGGAGCGGGAGCGGGAGCGGGAGCGGGAGCGAGTGCGGGAGCGGGAGCGAGTGCGGGAGCGAGGAGAGCAAGGCAAGGGAAGGGGACGATTTCTCACAGGAGATCGAGCACGGTTGGGGGACTTGGCGGGGGACTGCGAGCGAGAGCGGGAGCGCAAAGGAGACTTGCATCGAGAGGGGAATCAAGCAGAGCACGGCAAGGGAGGGGAAGGAGAGCTCACAGGCGAGCGAGCGCGCTCAGGGGACTTGGCAGGGGACTTGGATCGAGAGCGGGAGTGAGTGCAGGTGCGAGAAGAGCAAGGCAAGGGAAGGGGACGATTTCTCACAGGAGAGCGAGCACGCTCGGGGGACTTGGCGGGGGACTTGGATCGAGAGCGCGAGCGAGAGGGCGACTTGGAACCACTCTTCTTAGGCTGTATGGGAGCAGTGAGGTGGAGGAAAGAGGGGGGGGGGGGGAGGGGGGCAGGGTAGGGGGAAGGGAAAGGGGGATGGTAGTGTAGTTGAGAACCGACGGCAGCAAGAGGGAGACTTGGAGCAACTCTTCTTGGGCGGCACGGGAGCAGCGAGGTGGAAGGGGGGGAAGGGGGAGAGGGTGTGCAGTCCGGTCCGGGTGAGAATGGACGGCAGCAAGGAGAAATGGAGGTGGAGGGGGGGGGATGGAGAAATGCAACAACTCTTCTTGGGTTGCATGGTAGCATGGAGGTGGAGGGTGGGGAAATGGGGGGAGGGAGTGCAGACTAGATGAGAATGGACGTGAGCGAGAGGGGGAATTGGAACCACTCTTCTTAGGCTGCAGGGGAGAAGGGAACTCGAGAGGCATGGGGTGGGAGGGGGGAGGAAGGTTTGAAAAGGAGATCAGGGAGGAGGGGGTGTTGGTGTAGCCTGGGTGAACATGGACGGCAGCGAGAGGGGAAACTGCAGCCCCTCTTATTGGGCTGCAATTGGGAGCAGGAGGTGGTGGGGCGGTGTAGTTCGCGTGAAAATGGACGATAGCGAGGGGGGAGGGAAGGAAGAGAGAAGGGCTGCAAGGAGGTGGTAAGGGAAGGGTTGTGTGTGCCGTACTGACGGTGAGCAAGCGTGGGAGAGAGACATGAGAGAGTGGAGTGAGAGCAGCAACATGGGATGTAGCAATCGAGAAACGAGTTCATTGGTGGGAGATTGCATGCCTTAAACATGGGCATGCGACATGACACGATTGCGACACGACGTGGCATGTGACTTGGCGTACCGATCGCGAGCGCGATTTGAAATCAGAGTGGGATCGGGAGCGTGAATCCAAGGCAGAGCAGGAGTGGAATCAGGAGCAAGAAGCACCTCTCTATAACCACACCTTTGATCTCAACATACCGATCGAGAGCGTGACTTGGACTTGGAGCGCGATCGGGAACGAGAACCAGAGACAGAGCGGGAGTGAAAGCGAGAGCAAGGACATGAACAGAAGCGGGATCGCTTGCAGTGACGAGGCGACATGATATGTGACTCGACGTACCGATTATGAGCGCGACTTGGACTTGGAGCGGGAACACGAGCGTGAACCCGCGGCAGAGCGGTAGTGGAATCAGGAGCAAGAAGCACTTTCAAAAGAAGCACCTCCCTATAGCCACACTTTTGATCTCAACATACCGAGCGCGAGAGCGACGTGGACTTGGAGCGCGATCGGGAACGAGAACCCGAGGCAGAGCGGGAGCGCGAGCGAGAGCGAGAGCATGAACCGGAGCGAAATCGCTTGCGGCGACAAGTTGACAAGTGTCTTAACATACCGAGCGCGAGCGTGACTTGGACTTAGAGCGGGAGCGCGAGCGCGAACCCGACGAGGTGACATGTGACTTACCGAGCGCGAGCGAGACTTGGACTTGGAGTGGGACCGGGAGCGTGATGACTTTAGAGTCGACTCAAAAGTCACCATGTGACTTACTGAGCGCGAGCGAGACTTGGACTTGGAGCGGGACCGGGAGCGTGAACCCGAGGCAGAGCGCGAGCGCGAGCGCGAGCGCGAACGTGAACGGGATCGCTCGCGGCGACGAGGTGACCTGCTGCGATCGCGACCTGTCTTGCTCTCCTCACGCACCTGATGAGATTAAGCATGCGAGAAAGGGGTGGAAAGGTGGAAGGAACGAGAGGTATAGAAGATAAGGTGAAAGAGAGGAGGAAGGGGTGATCAGCTGCGGTTGCGACCCGTCTTGCTCTCCTCACGCACCTGATGAGAGCAGCCATGAGAAAGAGGAGGAAAGGTGAGCTGCTGCGGTCGCGTCGCGACCCGCCTGATGAGACCAGGCTGCATGCGAGAGGGCCATAGGTGCCCTGAGCTGAGCTGATAGTGGTGACACGCAGGTCACGAACTCACAAGTCCAAAACATCTGGAGCTCCCATTAAGGCTCCCTTCTGACAAACGCAAACCCACGCATTCCTTCAAGAAGTTTCCAACTCAAACCCAACACATGACAGGGCTACGGATCACACGAGGAAGGGCCAGACACAGACTTGATTGAGACTCACTCGGATGTAGCAGCCGCGGGAGAAAGGGTTCTTGAACTCCGAGTCGTCTAGCTTGCGCACCTGGAGTGGCGGGGGGGGGGGGGGGGGGGGGGGGGGGGAGGTATGGGGGGAGGTATGGGGGGAGGTATGGGGGGAGGTATGGGGGGAGGTATGGGGGGAGGTATGGGGGGAGGTATGGGGGGAGGTATGGGGGAGGTATGGAGGGAGAGACTTTTGAGTCGACTCAAAAGTCATCAGCCGCGGGAGAAAGGGTCCTTGAACTCAGAATCGTCTAGCTTGTGCACCTGGCGTGGGGAGGAGGGTTGGGAAGGGTGGGAAGGGGTGGGGAGGGGTGGAAAGAGGGGGGGATAAGGAGGGCGAGGGAAAAAGGGGTTCTTGAACTCTGAGTCGTCTAACTTGCGCACCTGGCGAGGGGTGGTCATCGGGGAGGGCAAGGAGGGCGGAGAAGGGGACGGGGGGAGGCTTTTGAGCCGACTCAGAATTAACCTCGCTCTTGAATCCAGAGCCTGACTAGCTTGCGCACCTGGCGAGGGGAGGGAGGTACGAGGGGAGGGTAAGGACGGCGACAGGCGAGAAGCAAAGGGGCGGAAGAAGGCTTTTGAGCCGACTCAGAATTAACCTCGCTCTTGAACCCAGAGCCGGTCTAGCTTGCGCACCTGGCATGGGTGGTCAGGGGGAGGGAGGGGGAAGAGGGGAGAGCGGGGGGAGGGAGCGGGGAGAGCAGGGGGGAGGAGGGAGCGGGGAGAGCGGGTGGAGGAGGGACAATGAATGAAAATGTAGGATTTGGTCCAGGGTATATCCAGCTACCAGCTCCGGGTAAGATTATAATGCTCCCCATCTTTCCAAACTTGGTTTCCCAAGAGAGATGGTTGGAGGGAGTCAAGTGGGGCGACAGATGGACGCATTTGCAGGAAGGGAAGTCAACAAAACTGGTCACACCTGCCTGGACGGTAACGAGATGTTGCCACGTCCCACAAACACAGCTGCCTTCGACTCGCCTGATAACATGACAACCATGCAAACACCCAGCTGCCTGATTCAGTCCTTTTGAGGCGCCTCAAAAGCACAGCTGCCTTCGACTCCCCTGATAACATCACAACCATGCAAACACCCAGCTGCCTGACTCAGTCCTTTTGAGGCGCCTCAAAAGCACAGCTGCCTTCGACTCCCCTGATAACATCACAACCATGCAAACACCCAGCTGCCTGACTCGATCCTTCCAGTGCTGCCCCACGCACCCAGCGGCTGCCCCACCCACCCAGCTGCTCGACTCACTGCACCTAACCCAACCACCTCATGCCTTGACTCACCGCATACTTCATGTCCTCCTCGTTGCTGTAGTCCACTATGCCCATCATGCCTGTGATGGGGGGGGGAGGGAGGGGGAGGAGGGGATTGGCGGGGAAGGAAGGGCAGGAGGGGGTGGCGCATGGGTTGTGAGCAAGATAGAGGCATGATACTATGCCCCCGTTGCTGTAATCCACTATGCCCATCATGCCTGTGCGGGAAAGGGGAGAGGGAGGGAAGGAGGGAGGGAGGAATGCACAGGTTGTGGGAAAAGAAGGATAGAGCAAGGGATAGCCACGTGTAATGAGGTTGTTTTTGAGATGTCTCAAAAACAACCTCATTACACGTGGTTGTGGGAAGAGAAGGATAGAGCAAGGGGTTAAAGCGAGGCATCAAACTTCAGTGCATGTCCTCCTCGTTGCTGTCGTGCATCCACTATGCCCATCATGCCTGCATACGAAACAGGGAGGGAGGGAGGGAGGGAGGGAGGGAGGGAGGGAGGGAGGGAGAGAGGGAGGGAGTGAGGGAGGGAGGGAGGGAGGGAGGGAGGGAGTTTTGGATTCAACCTTCCCCCTTCATGCCATATCCACCCTTCACCATTTCATTTCCACAATTGACCCACCGTCCATGCCCAACCTCATGCACGCCCACCCATGTCCATGCACGCCCATGCACGCCCATGCACGCCCACCCATGTCCATGCACGCCCATGCACGCCCACGCCTACCATCCCTCTCCTTGAAGACCTGCGCGAAGCACACGTCGCCCGCCCATGCACACCCACCATTGCCCGCCCATGCCAACCATTGCTCACCCATGCCCACCCATACCCACCATTACCCACCCATGCTTACCGTCTCTCTCCTTGAAGACCTGCGCAAAACACACGTCGCCCGCCCGCCGCATGTGGTCCTGCGCACCGGGGAGGGGGGTGAGGAGGGGGAGGGGAACGCGATGGGGGGGAAGGAGCGAAGGGGGGAAGGGGGTGCGGGAAGGGGAGAAGGGAAATGGAGGTAGCGTAAGGAGGATGAGGGAGACAAAACGCGGGCTGCAACAAGAAAGGTGCCCAAAGGTACAAATGAGTACTGCAAAGCATTTGGGGAGGGCAAGGGCGGAAACACAGGAGAGGAGCGCGAGGGCATGCGAGAGCATGTAAATGCATGCCAGGGCATGTGAGGGTATGCAAGGGCCTGCGAGTGCTCACCTTGAGATCTTGCCAGGAAGCGGAGGTGGGGAGATTCTTCACAATAACTGTGGCGGGCAGAAAGCACACAGTACAAGCACAACACAGGCATTCGTTACAAGCGCCCGTTATAAGCACAAGATACAACCAACCAAGCACAGTGAAGGAACTCAAGATGGTGAAAAGAATGCGCAAGCTAACCCATTCAGCATAAATTCAAGAGATATCAGTGGGGTGAAGTCACAAAACATAAAGCAGAGTCGCATTGGCAAAATCAGAAACGAGAGAGAAATGGAAGGGGAGAGGGGGGATGGGTGAGGGGGAGGGCGAGGGAGGGGGAGCGAGCTGGGACCGGGAGGGGAAACATCTTCAGAGGAAGAGGGTAAGGAGAGATGATGTGGGGGGCTGAGGGGAGGGTGTGGGGAGAAAAAGGGGGCTGGGGAGATGGGGTACGACGGGGAATGCAAAACGCAAGCAAGCACCTCACTCTGCACAACCAGCTCACCGCGGTACTCTGTACTCTGTTCTACGTTTTCATGTGCACTGACTGACTGAGTGACTGACTGACTGACTGACTCACCGCGGTACTCTGTTCGCCGCGACGGTCCGCGCTGAAAGTCCCCCCGCCCCCCCCCGAACCCGCCCCCTCCTCCGCGCCCGCCGTGCGCGAGCTCCACGCGCAGGCGGTTGCCATCAAAGTCGTACCCGTCGCGCCCGCGGATGGCGTCCTCCGCATCCCTGGGGTCCGCGAACTGGCGAAGTGTGGCGAAGAGGGGACAGGACGGTAACGGGGAGGGACAGGGTTACATGGGGCGGGTTGGGTAAAGGCGAACAGAAGGAGGAACGGGAAAGGGGGAAGGGGGGAGGCGGAAGGGGGTGGTGGGGAAGGCGGAAAGGGGAAGGAGGAAGAGGGGTGGGGAGGACGCGAGCTCCACGCGCAGGCGGTTCCCGTCAAAGTCGTACCCGTCGCGCCCGCGAATGGAGTCCTCCGCGTCCCGGGGGTCTGCGAACTGGGGATTCGCGAAGTGTGGCGAACGGGAGATGGTAACGGGGAGGGACAAGGTTGCGCGGGGCGGGAAAGAAAGGGAGGGATGGGGAAGTGCGGGGGGAGGGGAGCAGGGGGAAGGGGTAAAAGCGCGAGGGTGGGAGAAAGTAAAGGACGAGAGGGTGGGGGTAAGAGCGAGGGCGAAGGGCTGGGGTAAGAGCGGGCTGACTTTGCACACACGCGAACAGTTTATCCCGCGCCCACTACCGCGCGCGCCCACTACCGCGCCCACTACCGCGCCCACTACCGCGCCCACTACCGCGCCCACTACCGCGCCCACTACCGCGCCCACTACCGCGCCCACTACCGCGCCCACTACCGCGCCCACTACCGCGCCCACTCCCGCGCCCACTCCCGCGCCCACTCCCGCGCCCACTCCCGCGCCCACTCCCGCGCCCACTCCCATTCCCACTCCCGCGCTCCCGCTCCCGCTCCCGCTCCCATTCCCACTGCCGCTCCCGCTCCCGCTCCCACTCCCGCTCCTCCCGCTTCCACTCCCACGCCCACCCCGCGCCCACCCCCGCGCCCGCGCCCGCTCCCGCTCCCGCTCCAACTCCCGCTCCCACTCCCGCGCCCACTCCCGCGCCCACTCCCGCGCCCACTCCCGCCCCCATTCCCGCCCCCACTCTCGCGCCCACCACTCCCGCTTCCGATCCCCCTCTCGATCCCGCTCACCTCCACGAACGCGAAGCCAGGGGGCCGGGGCGGGAGCTTCAGCTCAATATCGAGGATCTTGCCGTACTGCACAAGGAAACGAGAGGGAAACACACGATATGCAAAGATTCAAACGACAACGACAAGGAAAGAAACAAGGAAAAAATACTACGAAAAAAAATCGGACGCGCTTCCAGGAAAGTGTACAGATCATGCAACCACACAACCCGTTACAAGCACATCCACATTTCCTCGTTATAAGTACATCCGGCTAACCCCACAAGCAGCACCGCACCTTGGCGAAAAGGTCCTCCACTTCGCTCTCGCGCGTATCGCCGGGCAGGTTGCCCACATACACCGTGCGACGGACCCCAACCGTGCAACTCGTTACAAGCGTATCCACCCACTCCCGTTATAACTACATCCAACTACACCCGAAAGACCCCACCTTAGCGAAAAGGTCCTCCACTTCGCTCTCGCGCGTGTCGCCGGGCAGGTTGCCCACATACACCGTGCGGTGCGATCGGCCGCTCATGCTGCTCATCAGAGGTCGATCCGACGGTCGTCGGTGGCACCACGAAATCCGGTCAAATCTGAGTCGTAGTAGGGTAGTGAATGGGACGATACACACGGTAGATGGGACGAAAGTGGGTAAGACAGGACGAGAGGAGCCCGAATCTCGCAAAGACAAGACGAAGCATTTCGGGTGGAGTCAGGCACGAAACACAAAACTTCTAACGTCCTCAGACGCATTGGCGACCTCGGATCCAATCACAAGGCCCTTATATCCTCACAACTACTCACTATCTCAAATCTTACTTGCGATCTGAAATCTTTGTAGAAGACCCTTGCACTACATCCTCACAGCCCTCAGATCTTATTTACGACCTCGGGTCTTAAAGCGAGACACACGCTACGACGTCTCGCTGCTGGATACAGACGCGCGCTGCTTCTCCCCTTGCGGCTACCCCTGTATGAGTAACCCGAGGTTTCGCCAACGTGTGGGGCTTCCAACACGCAACACGACGTCCGACGACACACGAGCTATTTCCGTTTGCGTCGATTCCCAATCTCTCCGGCCAACGTACGCTAGGCACACGGGTACTAGCGCATATCTTGCCCTAACGAAAGTAAGATGCTCGTCCGAGAAGGGGAGTAGCAAGGGAGGGTTCAGACCGCATGGAAGACGGCTCGAAGGCCCCCTCCTTATCGCTCCCTCCTTAAGCTCCCTCCATATAAGGTCCAATGCTCCCTCCATATAAGGTCCAATGCTCCCTCCATATAAGGTCCAATGCTCCCTCCATGTAAGATGCAAGGCTCCCTCCGCATAAGATCCAAAGCTCCCTTCCGATATAGTCCAAAGCCCTCCACTAGCCGTCCATCTGAACCAGATCGACGGCGTGCGTGACATAATGCAAACACAAACCGTCCTTCCCGTCCTCCCTCATAACTAGATAGAGCAAAAACAGAGAGTTGACTATCATGCATGAGAAAGTGCAAGGAGGAGAGAACATGACGAACAGCAGTATTCTTTGCGCAAAAAAGCGGGACGACGAACAGACAAAATATACGTCATGAAATCAGCCCATCGACACTTTCCTCACCTGAAATTTACAGCAGTAAAAATTCTGACTTGCGAATCTCGGCACGTTTAGCCGGGATGCTCAGACGCACTGAACCTGCTGTGCAAGCGTGACAGACGGACGCTGCTCCGTAAGGCTGAGAAACAGTGAGTAAGACACTAAGCGAGAACTAGAATTGGGGCAGACAAGGTAGAGCAGAAGAGCTGCTCTCGCTCAAAGAATGGGGGGAGGGAGTGGTTGGGGGAGGGTGGTTTTCGCACATCATATTTCTTCGCCTCACTCCAGTTTCAGCCTGGGTTCTTTTCGCACCAACAAATAGTTGTCGCATTGCAACATTCGCGGGGCTGCTTGGATTCCTGAGGGGGTGTTACATGTGCGCAAGAACTACGCTGGGCCGTGCTGGGCCGCTGCGGCCTAGGGGCATTTGCGCGGACCAGCATGGACCAGCGAACGGCCCAGGTGTGGACCCGACTTGCACCCGCCCACGGACCAGCATGTACAGTGCGAGGCGCACGTACGAAAACGACGCTCGACACGCAGGACCATTTCCAGAGTGACCCAAGGCGATGGGAATCGCATGCGGAAACTGCGTTTTGATTGTTTCGCCAAAAGTATCTGCTGTGTGCGACATCTTGTTCAAGCGTGACCAGGTACACTTTTGTTTTCGTCAACACTTCGTTTTCGAAGCTGCAATGGACTGTGCATAGCTGGTCCGCCGCAAATGGTCCCCGGTACCACGCGGGACCACTTTTGGAAGTGGTCCCTCTAAAATGGTGCCCCCTTGCATTCGCTGGTCCATTTCCTTGTAAATGGATCAGCGAGCAATGTAACACCCCTGGGAGTGCTTATGTCGTATGTGCGAAACAAAAGACGACGAGAGTTTAGCCAGCGAAATTCAAAAACCTGTAACCAACCAGTACAGGATAAATTTCAGAGTGGGTGGTGGTGGTGGAATCAGGGAAGATATCGGCCGAATCCCTCCGGAAAGCCCCCATCGCCCCTGCGGGTTTTCCTCGGAGGGATTTCCGTTTTCCCGCAGTCGCCTAGCGGCGCACGCGAGGGGCGGGAGTCACCCCCCCCCCCCCCCCCCCCCCCCCCTCCCTCCCGCCCGAAAACGGGCACCCCGAGCTGGCGCCAGCTGCACGTGACGCCAGCATCCCGCGCCCCCGAGCTGGCAGTGGTCCCCACCCGAACCGAAACGAACCGAGCCCGACACCACGCTCGGTTCGTAGACGGGTTTCGTCCGGTAACACACCGAACACTCGCCGGACGTCGCCTCGCCGACGGAACCTGTCAGCGAATTTTCGCGAGCGGACGGAAGCCACTCCCATCTGCGCCGCGCTCCACCGCTCTCGCTCTCGACGGGCTCGTTTCGTTTGGCGCTCGACCCCGGTGACGTGTCGAACGCCCACTACACACCCCCTCCCGCTCCTTGAAAGGGGCCTTTCAGCTCCATGCAAGGCGCCCCACCTCATGCAGCCAACCACCAGATTTCACGTCGAGGCCAATAGGGCCCCGTCGCCCTATGTGAAAAGCTCCTCCTCCCGTCGTCTCGGAACGCGCCCTGCTTCGTCGCCCTTGCACCCGAGTCTGTATCGGTGGGGGTGAAGGCAAACAGCTAACACCCTAAGTGCTTTCTCATTCTGTTGCTGTCTCCGAGATTTTCTTCTCTACTCCCTAGTTTCCAACTTCCCTGCGCTCCCGCCCTCCCTACTACTAGGCCGGCCATGGCTACGGGCCCCGCCTCCCAACCCGTCATAAACGAGCCGACGGTTCGACGCGGCCTCATCCTAACCGCAGGCGGGGTCGAGGTGGAGGTGTTCGAAGACCAGTTGAATGCGATCAGCGAGGCGCCGAAAGCGGAGCTCGACGAGAGGATGATGAACGCGGGCGTTGTGTACGTTTCCTGTCGAGCATTTTAGGTTTGCCATGTTCGGGTTTACCTATTGCTGACTGTGCCTTAGCTTTCCGTGCAGCCTGTTTTCAAGGGAGCTGCTGTCCGTCGAGTAGCTCGCCAAGCTGTCGATCGTGACCTCGACGCGTGCGCATGAAGAGATGGTGCGTCCCACACCGATCGCTTTTGCGAACAACCACCTCGACGGCCTGCTCGGCAAGCAAGTGATTTTCGTTATGCTGCGGACCACGTGAGTTCGACACTATCCCGTCGCCTTGCGTGCTTCGTGTTTAGTACTAAACCCGTGCTCACGTGCATACGCTCTGCATGCAGCCTGACTGTGCCGCCGTTCTCCCATTCGAGCCTGTTCGTGGTATCGCGCCTCGACGATCTGCTGGTTCCGAGGCACACTGGCTGTCGAACGCGAATGATGCACTTCGATTCGAAAGACAGGTTTCCCGCGGTGAACCACCAATCTTCGCTGGCGCAGGAAGTTTTTGTGTGAGTGACCGATTTGCCACCCTGCTGTCTATTTGGCGTTCTCGACAATCTTACTCTCCTGTCCGTTGCTTTGCAGTTGGATGAAGAAGCAGCTTCGCACCGAGTACGCGATGACCCAGCGGGCTGTGACCGAGCACGAGCAGGGGGTGCTTAGCCTCATCGACATGCGTCTGGACATGATTCAGAGTTTCGATCATCTGGTAAGCCAATCCTTACACTTACTCTGTCGAGCGTGTTGTTCTGTCGCTTACGTGTGTTTTATATTGGTCGCAGACGACGACGGCCCTTACGGGCCCCTGTGAACCCGGCGCGGCAGCTCGTGTCGTGCATGGGGTGCGTCAGATTCTGTCGAACTGGAACAATTTCATCCTGCAGCCTCGACAGGGCGACCTTGTGATGCTCGGGAGAACGAGCCCTGGCCCGGGTATGCTTCCGTCGTTCATGGTCAAGCTGTTTTGGACAAAGATGCACGAGGTGGCGAAGGAGGTAGAAGTGGGAGGGGGTGCCGAACACGAGGGAGGAGGCGAGGGGAAGGCACGCGTCTTGCTTGAGTACAGCTACGAGGAGGAGGAGATCAAGGAGGGTACATCGAGGCAAGGTCAGCACGGGGTGAGCGGCCTAGGCGGTAATGTGAACGAGCAGGAGGGCTCGAGCTCCGGCTCGAGCTCGAGCGATGAGTCGGTTGAGCACGACGGCGAGGGCACAGGAGAACATCCAGGTGGGACGGAGCGTACGGAGGAGCACCGTGTGGCGCTCGGAGAGCGGGTGGACGAGCGGGTGAAGCGTATCGAGCAGCAGGCGACGGGTGACGTTGATGTTGTCGAGGAGCAGGAGGGCGGAGCGGCTGCGCAGGAGGGTGGGGCAGGAGTGCTGCTGCATGAAAGAGGGGCGGTTGTGCAGGATTTTGGGACAGGAGTGCAGCAGCAGGAGGGCGGGGCGGCTGCGCAGGAAGGTGGGGTCGGAGGGCAGCAGCAGGAGGGCGTGGCGGCTGCGCAGGAGGGTGGGGTGGGAGAGCAGGAGCAGGAGGGCGGGGAGGCTGCGCAGGAGCGATAGGTCGCAGTAAGAAGGAGATACCGCACGGCCAGTGGCAGCGGACAGGCGGGCCCTTCGACTGGGCGCCCTTCGACGGCAGGCCAATCAACGTCGGCCATTCCATCCGGTGGTCAGGTCGTCGAGCTACTGCAGAGGGTCGCAGAGGTCGAGGCGTCGCAGAAGAAGCTTGTCGCCGACGTATTTGCGAAGCACAGTGAGCAAGCCGCTGTTTTCAACAAGCTTGCTGCTGATTTTCGGACGGCCTGGAATATGATTTTGGAGTCGTCGAACAGGACGCTGAAGCAGTGCGGCGACGCCGTAAACGGTGTCACGGAGGAAAGGAAGCTGTTAGAAGGGGCGCGCACGAAGCTCGACGAGATGAGCGGGAAAATCATCGAGGGAGTGGCAGCCGCTATCACGAAGGCGAGCGAGGACGCCGTAGAGAAGCAGTTCCAGCTTGTCGAGGAGCGGCTGGTTGCTTGGGTCGTGAAGGGTATCGAGAAAGCCGTCAAGGACGACTTGTTCTACTCCACCCTCCCGCCCGAGAGCATGAAGGACCTGAAGGACGTTGTGAGAGAAGGCTACCAAGAAGCGGAAGCTGGCAGATTGGAAGTCCTCACCGAAGCGATAGCGAGAGGGTTTCAGCGCTCGGCAGGCCCGTCGACGAGGTCGCGTCAGGAGGAGAGGGTGGCTGGTGTTCGCAGCGGGGTGGAGCGTCGATCGGTTCCTCCTTCTTCGGTGGGAGGACTGTCAGAATCTCTAGGCAAGAATGAATGAACTAGCAGAAGTTTGGGTACAAATATGAAACCCTAGTTGGGGTTGTACCCCATATTGGCTACCCCACTACAGCCTACCAACATATAACACATTACAATTTAACACACCCCCATAGGCAAAGTGGGGGAGAACAAAGGGTCACAAGACCAGTCCAGCAAAGCAACGCAAGCCCAGGGTGGATCACAACGTCACCACACTCCGAGCACAAGCAAAGGCCACAAGGCCAGTTCACATGCAGTGCTAGATATAGTACAAGACAAGCAACACAGTGATCAAAACCTAGCAAGCAAGCAACAAGATATATATAAAGTACAGTACAAAGAATGTCAAGCAGTGAGCAAGTGAGGAAACGTGGACACAAGGCCTAAAGAAGTACAGTGTCGCTGATGATCACTAGGCGGGAGCGCCTTGGTGAAGATATCAGCAGTGTTGGCCTTCGAGTCCACGTACACAAGCCGAAGCTGACCGCGCTGCTGAAGCTCTCGAGCAAGAAAGTAGCGAAGAGCAATGTGCTTCGTCCTGTGCTCCAGTCTGTGCTCCTGACACAAGGCAAGGGCCGCCTTGTTGTCGCCGTACAGAACTGGAGGAGAACTAGGCCGCTCTCCCAAGTCAGTCAGCAGGTAGGTGAGCCAGCGTAACTCCTGTGCAGCCATGGCAGTGGCGTAGATCTCAGCCTCACAACTAGAGCTGAGAACAGAAGAAGAACGGGTGGACCGCCACGAGACAGAACCAGAGCCAAGGCTGAAGGTGTAACCCTGTGACGACCGCTGCGTAGCCAGGTCGTCCACCCAAGAAGCGTCCGAGTGGCCAGTGAGGACAACTCTGTCGTGTCCTCCAAGCACCAGCCCCATGCCTGATGTACTGCACAAGTAGCGCAGCACCCTCTTAGCAGCCTCCCAGTGCTCTCGCCTGTGTCTCCCAGGTGCAACGTAACGAGCAAGGATGCTAAGAGGGTACGCGAGGTCAGGTCGCGTGCAAGTCATCAGGTACATGAGGCAGCCCACAAGCTCTGGGTACGGGCCACTCGGCTCTACGGACTCGTCCGAAGGTGGAGCTGAGAGCGAGTGGCTGGTAGCCAGAGGTGTGGCCTGTGGTGAGGAGAACTGGAAGCCGAAGCGCTGAAGGACCTGCTGCACCATGTGTGACTGAGTCAGGGTGATGGTGCGGCGAGCTCTGTCCCGGGTGATCTGCAAGCCAAGGTAGCTACGCAGCTCACCCAGGTCAGTGCAGGTGTGTCTCTTCTGCAGCTCCGACTTCACACAAGCGAGTGCCTCAGTGTCAGCAGTAGCAAAGACCAAGTCGTCGACGTACACGAGAATGTAGAACGGCGGCAGCGACGTGTCTGTGCGCAGAAACAGCGACGGGTCAGCAGTAGACGGCGCGAACCCAAGAGCCGCAAGTGTAGTCCTCAGTGTGTCGTGCCACTCGCGTGGCGCCTGGCGGAGACCGTAGACTGGCCGGTAAAGCCAGGTGGGCGGCGCAGCCAGATCTCCTCGTGCAGGCTGCCCTGCAGGAACGCTGTGCTGAAGTCAAGAGAGTGAAGCTCGTAGTCACGCTGAGCAGCAACGTGCAGCAGAACCCGAAGAGTGGTCATCTTCGGGGTGGGGGAGAAGGTCTGGAAGAAGTCGACCCCCTGACGCTGACTGAAGCCTCTAGCAACGTAACGAGCCTTGAAGACAGGCGGAGAACCTGGCGGCCGCTTCACCCTGAAAATCCACATGCCATCGACGATGTTCGCCCCAGGAGGGGGAACCTCGTCGACGTAGGTGCCTGTGGACTTCCAGGATGCCATCTCTGCGTCCATGGCTGTCTGCCACTGAGAGGAGTAGGGACCCGAGATCGCCTCTGCGTAAGTGCGCGGAGTGGGGATGTCTAGTGCATCCGGGTCTCCCTCAGGGGCAAGCAACCAGGCCACGAGATGAGGTACAGCAGCCGCGAGAGAGTCAAAGTCCTCCTGCCTGTCCTCAAGGACGTCCGTGCCAAGAGCACACTCACCCCCGACGGACGGAGGACAGACAGACGCAGACTCAGACCCAGCAACAAGGCGAGCAGCGTAGTCTAGACGACAGGCAGCAGCAAAGTCAACCAACTCAGCGACGAGAGCAGACGCAGCCGAGGACTCAAAGGTAGGGTCAGTGACAACAGTAGCTAGGAGACGCGTGACAGTAGGGTGCTCAGCACGATACCGGTCAGACTCAGGGTCCGGAACAGCAGGCAAAGAGGACGCAGGAGGAGACGGCAGAGGGACACGCTGAGGAGCAGTAGAGGGATGCAGAGTCATGTAGTGAGTGCCTGGGACAGGAGGAGGACGCTCACGAGGGACACGACGACCAGTGCGAGCAGTACGGACAGGCGACGCAGGACGAGACTCAGGCTCACGACGCTCTGTAAGACCTCCTGTGGGACCAGTGTAAGGAGAGGGAGCAGGGAGAGGCGAGGCAGGCGGTAACTGTGACTGCGGCTGGACAGTCGGAGGACACTCTACGGAGGGAGGAGGACAAGGAGGAGGAGCCTGCCCAAGAACCTGCTGAAGGAGCGGTACGAAGTACGGCCGCGGCCGCGCAGCGTCTCCAGAAGCAGAAGAGACTCCAGCGTCCGGGTCCCCAGCACCAGCAGCAGCGCCACCGCTCGGGTCCTCAGCTCCAGCAGCAGCTCCACCAGGTGGGTCCGCAGCACCAGCAGCAGCACCACCCCCAGGGTCCGCAGCTACAACTCCGCTAGCGCCGCCAGCTCCAGAGTCCCCAGCTCCAGCAGCTCCAGTCGTAGTGCTCCCAGAACAACCAGTCCCGGCAGCTCCAGTACCCCCAGCTCCAGCCGAGCCACTAGGACGGCGAAAGCGCCGGACGTACCAGTCACGAAGCTGCTGTGGTGTGAGAGACTGCTCAGCACCCCGAACCGGAGCACCCCCAGACGCAGCAACCCGAGGCTCCGTAGGCTCAGTAGCAGTACCCCCAGGCTCAGTACCCGCAGGCGCAGCACCCCCAGACTCAGCACCCCCAGACTCCGCACACACAGGCTCAGCACCCCCAGTCGCAGCACCCCCAGGCTCAGCACCCCCAGGCGCCGAACTCTCAGGCACAGTACCCTCAGCTCCAGCACCCGTAGTCCCAGCACCCCCAGGCCCAGCACCCTCAGGCTCAGCACTCCCAGCAGCACCACCTGCAGCAGCACCTGAGTCACCTGTGACCTCGACAGGCTCAGCGACGGGAGGAGGGTCTACCTGAGAGACACCTGAAGGAGCAGGACCTTGAGGGGGGAGGGGGTCTACCGGAGGGGGACCAGGAGCAAGGAAAAGCGGCGGGGGAGGGAGGGGGGCAGTACGGTAGGGGAAGAGACGGTAAAAAGGGACCGACTCGTCAAAGGTGACGTCCTGAGAGGCGAAGACCCGGCGCGAGGTGGGGTGGTAAAACTGCCAGCCCGGCGCGTCAGGGACAAAGCCAAGGAAGACACAGGGAAGCGTGCAGGAGGAGAGCTTGTCCGCGGACGTATCGCGGACAAGGGCACGAGCACCCCACACCCGGAAGCGCGACGCATCGCCAACCTCCCCCGTCCAACGCAGTGTGGGCGAGGTCTCCGGCAAGGAGACACGGGGCCAGAGGTTGAGGTGATGCGCGGCGTACCGGACAGCAAACGGCCACAGAAAATGGGGAGCCGCCGCGTGGACCAAGGAGGTACGAGCGACCTCCATGACCAGGCCAATGCGGCGCTCAGCAACCCCATTCTGCTGTGGGGAGTCCGGAAGCGTGAAGGTCTGCTCGATGCCCTCCGCCTGACAGAAGGTCCTCAAGAGGTCGGAGGAAAACTCACCACCTCTGTCAGAGTGCAGACGCAGGACAGGAAGATCCGTCCGGAAACGGCGGCGGAGCTGGAGACGAACTGTGCGGATCCAAGGGATCAGAACAGCAGGGACCTCACCCTTGGTGCGCAAGGGGAAGACCGAGGTGTAACGCGAGTAGTCGTCGACAACCAGCAAAAAGTACCGCTCACCGCCCTGACCACGAACGCGGGCTGGGCCCCACACGTCCAGGTGGAGGGTCTGCAGAGGAGCCTCTGTCGGGGGGAACGAGGAGGAGTGAGGAGCGGCGCGCTGCCGCCCCTCGACGCAAGGAAGGCAAGGCGGCGCAGGCGAGGCAGGGAGGGGAGGGAGGGACCTGGGAAGACCAGACACAAGGTGGCGACGGTGCATGCCACGAAGGCGTGGCAAGGAGGGGTGACCCAGGCGGTGGTGCCAGAGAAGAGTCTGGTGCGACAGGGAACGACACTCACAGGCGTGGGCTACCAGACCTGACGCGGACACCTGACCGACAGCAGCGACCTGAGGAGACGCAGTGGTCAGTGTGTAGAGACTCGACCCCGGCCGACGAGTAAACGTAGCCAGGTGACGGCCGGTCCTGGAGCACGTGCAGATCGCCACACGCTGTCCTCCAGGGGTAAAGGTGTCAACCCACTGATCCTGGATGACAGCGTTGCTCACCAGGTTCGTCGAGAACGAGGGGAGGTGGAAACCCGTCAACGAGCCAGACGGAACCGCCGGACAAGGGAGCACAGTGGTGGACCGGGCAAGGACCGGGCCCCCAGAGGGGTCAGCCAAGGAGACTGGGACCAGTGCAGGAAGCGGTGTGAGCTCAGTACTGTCTCGAAAGAAGCAGCGGGAAGCACCTGAGTCAAGGGTGAAGGTGTGACAGGGCTCAGCCGGTGCAGTACCTGAGAGAGCAGTCTCTGTGGGTGCTGTACCTGAGAGAGCAGACTCGCAAGCAGCAGGGACAGTGCTGGAGGGAGCAGGTACAGGGGGCACCATACCAGAGAGAGCAGACTCACTAGTACCTAGGGCAGCGGGCCCTATACCTGGGTCAGGCGGCACACACAAGTAACAGTCTCCCTCGGCACTAACAGTCAATGCATACATGGCAGCAATAATAGCATCAAAGTCAAGAGCAAAGATATCAACCCCAGCCCTCATCAGCTCAGCCCAGCGAGGGCGCTCAACATCCTCGCCCATCTCCTCACGCCAAGCGTCGTCAAGGCGGAAGAAGCAGCGGTACTGAGTGTGGAACTTTCCACACGTCTGCCCCTTGCGATCACCTGTGCGAATGACATAGGAACAGCGGCCACTGCCCCCCGACGTCCCACGCTGAGCAAGCCACTCACGAAGCTGCTGGGTCGACTGGGGACGCTGCTGCTGCTGGGAGCTCTGGCCCGAGCCTGTGCCTCCACTCCGACCTCCACCGCCGCCACTACCTCCGCTCCGACCGCCACCACCGCCACCGCCACCGCCACTACCGCCACCGCCGCCACTGCCGCCGCTGCCACCACCGCCACTGCTCCCGCCGCCGCCCCCATCTCCGCCGCCGGCCCCACTCCCATCGGCACTCCCGCCACCGCTCCCTCCAGCACCGCCTCCCCCCCCACCTCCCCCACCCCCTCCCCCCCCAGCGCCACCCCCGCCACCCTTGCCCCCCTTGCCCTTGCCGGTGCGGCGCCTCCCACCAGGAGCAGAAGCAGCGCCAGCAGACTCAGCACCAAGGAAGTCAACAGCAGCAGCAGTAGCGTAGGAGGGAGCGAGGGGAGAGGGAGAACACCCCTCAAAGATGGGGGTGCGAGGAGCGCCGCGAGCAGCACCTACAGCTACAATGCTCTTCTCGGCTGCTAGCAGCTTCTCCTCTAGGAGGGCGACAGTGAGCTCAGTGGGACAGCGAGCAAGGAAATAGTCGCGCACTGAGCTGAGGGTGTCAGGGAGACGGGTGACTATGAAGTGGAGTGTCCAGTACAGGGGAGGGGGGTTCTTAGCGCAGAACTCGGTGGGAAGGGCGGCACGCAGGCGAGCATCACTAGTGCGAAGGTGGGTGATAAGATCGGCGACTGTAGCAAAGGTGGACAGCTCAGGGAACAGGTAAGGCAGCATGAGACGGCTAAGCTCGGCTGTGGCAGGTGAGGAGTAGCGAGCAACGACAGCGTCATATAGGGCTTTAGCGGTTTTGCAGTCGCCAAAGTGCTCTAGCTCAGGTAACGGCAGGTGACTGCGAATAGCCAGGCGAGCTGCAGCGTCACGAGTCTGCCACTGTGAACGTACACTAAGCTCGGCTGTGGCAGCAGGAGCAGCGGCAGCACCAGACGCGTAGTCATAGAGGGAGATGTGGTCCGTGCTATTGCTCATAAGATACAACTGCAGGTCGTCGAGCCAGGAAGTGAACTGCACGGGACGGCCCTCAGCATCGAAGGAAAGAACGCGAATAGAGGCCATAGCTCAGGCGTGAGGGCACAGCAGAGCAGCGGCAGCAGCAGAGGGGACGCGCTAGAGCGAAGCTAGCAGCCACAGCAGGAGCAAGCGGCGGTGCACAGGCAGGGAGCAGCAGGCGAGGCGGGCAGCGCTGCAGGCGGGAAGTGCGGCGGGCGGGCTGCGAAGCGGGCAGCGGGGCGGGCGGGCGACGCGGCGAGCGGGCAGCGCGGCGGGCGGCTGCGAAGCGGGCAGCGGGCGGGCGGGCGACGCTGCAAGCGGGCAGCGGGCGGGGAGGGCGACGCTGCGAGCGAGCAGCGGGCGGGCGGGCGACGCTGCGAGCGGGCAGCGAGCGAGCGGGCGACGCTGCGAAGCGGGCAGCGGGCGGGCGGGCGACGCTGCAAGCGGGCAGCGGGCGGGCGGGCGACGCTGCGAAGGAGGTAGCGGGCGGGCGGGCGGCGCTGCGAGCGGGCAGCGAAGCGGGCGGGCCGCGAAGCGGGCAGCGAGCGGGCGGGCGGGCTGCGAAGCGGGCAGCGGGGCGAGCGGGCTGCGAAGCGGGCAGCGGGGCGAGCGGGCGACGCTGCGAGCAGGCAGCGCGGCGGGCGAGGGGCGAGCGGGCAGCGTGGCGGACGGGCGACGCTGCGAGCGGGCGGCTCGGCGGGCGGGCGACGCTGCGAGGGGCGCGCGAGGGCGCTAGCGAGGGGCGCGCGAGGGCGCTAGCAAGGGGCGCGCGAGGGCGCTAATGAGGGGCGCGCGAGGGCGCTAACGAGGGTGCGCGAGGGCGCTAACGAGGGGCGCGCGAGGGCGCTAACGAGGGGCGCGCGAGGGCGCTAACGAGGGCGCACGAGGGCGCTACGAGGCTAGGGCACGGGGTAGCGTGGTAACCGCATGCGAGCGGTGGTGGGCCCTAAAAAAACGGTCGGTAGGTCCTAGGGACCTCCTGCTCTGAATACCATGTCAGAATCACTAGGCAAGAATGAATGAACTAGCAGAAGTTTGGGTACAAATATGAAACCCTAGTTGGGGTTGTACCCCATATTGGCTACCCCACTACAGCCTACCAACATATAACACATTACAATTTAACAAGGACATGTCGGCAGCCCAGTAGCATCCCCACCGTCACGTGCCCGTCAGACCGTTGGCAAGTCCGTCGAGGACAACGAGGTCATCGTACTCGACCAGTCGCCCCATCCGAAGACCTCCGAAGCGGCACCGAAGCCTCCGACTGATGCTTTTGCTTCGCTGCGGGACATGCTGCATGGCCTCGGGAATAAGGAAGGGAAAGGCGTGGTTACGGGGGAGAATAGTGGTGCTCCAATCGAGTCGGTCGCCAACGCCGGGAAAAGTGGCAAGGGAAAGCGAGTTGCGCCTACCCCGTCCGGCGGCACTGCGGGGAAAGGAGCGGGGGAGACATGGGGTCCTGCTGGGTTGCTGTCGAAGACAAAAGCGGCATCACCTGCGCGGAGCGGTGGTGCTGGTCGTGCTCAAACGCTTGTGGGAAACTGGGCGTCATCCTCTACCCCTCCTGTAGCTCCTGTCGCCGCTGCTGGGGCCTTGGGCGACGTCTGCCTTAGCGAACCGGGTTCCCCTTTTGCGTCAAACAAGAGGCAGGCCGTGACGAAGGCGAGAGAGAGCAGTCACGTGGTGGAGCTGCCCAGCCGCAGTGGTCAAGCTCCTGTCGAGAAGCCGTCTACCGTCGTTGCTGCTCGACAGGAAAAGACGAAGAAGGCCAAGGTGATCGGCTACACGCCACCTCCTCGGCCGGACGACCAAGGCAAGACGAGAGGTTGCAAAGCTCCCTTCAGAGGACCGGGTTTCAGGTGGCGGAAGGGTAAGCCGGTTTCCGAGCAGACCGTCGGCGGGAGGAAGCGGTTCCTTGGCACTTTTGACACGGAGAAGGACCAGAAGTTCTGTACGGCCATCTGCTGGCGCGTGTACTTCCCCGACATAGTCCTTACGGAGTACGAGGTGTTCACGGTGCAGGATGAGAAGGACTGGAAGGTCTATCTCGACGCGGCCGCTGGTATGCCTACCGACGTTTGGAGCGTGGCGCAAGAACAAGGGGAATGTCGTTTCGACGAGTGAGTTTTGTCGAAAACCTGTTGTTTGACTGTTGTAAACGGTTTTGCTCTTTCTGTCGAAGTGACGGTTTTGATCTTTCCTGTCGAAGTGATTTTTTGTCGAAGTGCGGCCTCTTGACCAGAAGATTTGTTTCGCTGTGCAGGTTTGAGTCGCTGCTGGCGACGGCAAATAAGGAAGTGAGAGCTGGAACCGATTGGGGAATCGCTCTGTGCGCGGCGATTGGTATGGTTGCGACGCTTGGCCAGAAGCATGGGAACGTGATATATCCAGTCCCGAAGGGCATGGCGGCGACACCGCACATGATGGCCATCGCCGCAACTGTGGCGAGCTTGTGGGCGGCCTGCAGGAAGCTGTCGAGGGAAGATATTCAGGCGCATGCTCTAGCTGTCGCAAACGCAGCGCACTACGCCACGGAAATGGCGACAAAGGCTCGTGCGGCTGCCATGGCGGCGCTCGTGTCCGTAGTTACGCACGTCGGCAGGACGTTCCCGGCCAAGCAGTGGCCCGATCAGCTGTATTCGTCGGCTGTCGAAGGTCTCGGCTCGGCGGACGCCACAGTGTTGCAGATGCTGCGCGTGGCAGCACAGGTCTGTACGCAATGGTGCTGCTGTCGAGCTGCTGCCCGCCTGCTGGAGGATGCGGGCTATGGCAGCCTGGCTATGCTAGAAGAGAAGAGCAAGGCGAAGCTGGGCGACGAAGATGCTACGGAGATGGAAATGGGCGGGCAAGGGGAGTAGTTTAGGATGGCGCATTGCGTGGGGGTGTTTGCATCATTTGACAGATGTGTTTGTTGTTTTGATAGTTTGATCGACAGAATATGTTGGATTCATGGTCATTGATTTGATGTTTTCGATAATGCTCAATTGGTTCATCTTGTCGAGATAGTCTCACAACAAGTACAAGAGGGATATGCCAAGTAAACCTAGCTAGAACAACCTACACTAGGTTTCCCCCCGCCTCAAGGTTGCCCATCGAACTAGGCCGCGCGCCAGTCGTTCTTGTGAACTCTATCCATTTCTCCTTGCCGAACACCTTCTCCGCCCATTCTGCTGTTCGGAGCCCGATGCGAATAAGCTCCAGAGTGATTCTGAGGCGTTGTTTGTCCTACCGGTTTTCCTCTGCAGACTCGAGTTTCCGTTTTTTCGTGAGCTGCCTCCCAGTATCCTCGTTGAGAACGATGCCCTCCGAAAGCATGTTGATCGAGTGGTCCTTAACAATTGAGTCCAGCTTTTCGATGACCGTCGACGTAGCCGCGCTGCCGTCGTCAATCCGGAAATGCTCGACGACTTTTATGACAACCTCCATTTTCCGCAATTTCGTCTCGATAGCTTTTGCGGTTGGGGGCTTTTCTTTTGGCTGGGACTCCTCGTCGTGGGGTACGGGGGGTGGAGTCGGTGTGAACTTGCAGAACTTGACGGCAAAGCCCCTCCTGTACGCCTGTCGAAGACTGTTTCCGTTGTTCAGTGGGCTTGGCCCGTCCCAGTACGACCACGCCTTCCGCACGGTCTCGCAATTGCACCACGGCCACACCACCACGTCGAAGAATGCCTGGTCGAGCTGGCTGCCTGCACTCTGTCGAGAGGGCGTTGCTTGTTGGGCTTGATGTGGTGCCGGGGTGGCTTCCACGGTCTCTGTATGAGGTATGCTAGGGCTCTCCCCCACATTTGCAGCTGCGCTTGTCGCCGCGGTATTCTTCAGAACGTCGAACACTTTCTGTAGTTGCGCGAGCGCCTCTGTCTTCGCCTCCAACTCCGACTTCATCGAGCGGTTCTCTCGCTCCAATGACTCGACCTGCCTCTCGAGGTGGTTGATCTGGATTGCCTTTCTCCCTCCCTCCTCCTTGTGGAAGTTGATCTCGGCCCGAAGTTGCCTGATGAGGTGCTTGGTGTTGAGCTGAGAGGATACGTCCTGCACACAATAACAGGTGCGGTCAGTGGGCTGTTGAAAAGCCTTCGGATATAGATATGGATGGGCCATCTTACCGAAGCTCTCGACATCGCGGGGTTGGTTCGCATCTCGATGCCGTACTTGTCGAGGAGGTATACGTCGATCGCCCATTTTTGGAAATCTTCGTCCTTGCACAAACCGGACATCTGGGCGTAAGGGTGACGCTCGCAATCGCAAACGCTCACCCCGTCGAAGGGGTGGTCATTGCTATGGACGTAGTACATCGCAAGATCCTCTGCGATGGGCATTCTGTCAAGATTACGAGACTGGAATGATTGAACTAATAGCAAACCCTAGAATAGTGTACCCCATATAGGCTAACCCACTGTAGTCTAACAAACCCAACATATATAATGTTTGACACACCCCCATAGGCAAAGTGGGGGAGACCTAGGGGTCACAAGATCAGTCAAGACAAAGCAAGGCAACAACAAGCTCAGGGTGGATCTCGAGGATTCCACACAAATTCCGAGCACAAGCAAGCGGTCACAAGACCAGTTCACATGCAGGTTTATAATAGAGCAAGACGTACAATGATCACAACCTAGCAAGAGTAAACATGCAGGTATATAAATATATAGTGATCACAGTACAGGCAAAGTCAAGAAGTGAGCAAGTGAGGCCCAGTAGGCACAAGGCCTAACAGAGTACAGAAGCGCTGATGGTCACAAGGCTGGAGTGCCTTGGTGAACACATCAGCAGTGTTGGCCTCAGTGGCCACGTAACGTAGACGAAGCTGACCGCGCTGCTGCAGCTCTCGAGCAAGGAAGTACCGCAGGGCAATGTGCTTCATTCTGTGCTCCAGTCTGTGCTCCTCACACAAGGCAATGGCAGCCTTGTTGTCGACGTACAGCACTGGAGGAGAACGAGGCCGCTCTCCGAGGTCGGTCAGCAGGTAGGTCAGCCAGCGCAGCTCCTGAGCAGCCATGGCTGTGGCGTAGATCTCAGCCTCACAACTGGAGCTGAGAACAGAAGACGAACGAGTAGAACGCCAAGAAACTGAGCCAGAGCCAAGGCTGAAAGTGTAACCCTGTGACGACCGCTGAGTAGCCTGGTCGTCTGCCCAAGAAGCGTCTGAGTGCCCTGTGAGAACAACCCGGTCTCGCCCTCCAAGCACAAGCCCCATGCCCGACGTACTGCACAAGTAGCGCAACACCCTCTTAGCAGCATCCATGTGCTCCTTCCTGTGACGGCCAGGAGCGACATAGCGTGCTAAGATGCTAAGGGGGTATGCAAGGTCAGGTCGAGTGCAGGTCATCAGGTACATGAGGCAGCCCACAAGCTCTGGATACGGGCCACTCGGCTCTACGGACTCATCCGAAGGCAGAGCTGAGAGCGAGTGACCGGTAGGCAGAGGAGTGGACTGAGGCGAGGAGTACGTGAAGCGGAAGCGCTGGAGAACCTGCTGCACCATGTGTGACTGAGTCAAGGTGATGGTGCGCCGTGCTCTGTCCCGGGTGATCCGCAAGCCAAGATAGCTTGTCAGCTCACCCAGATCTGTGCACGTGTGTCTCCTCTGCAGCTCCGACTTCACGTGGGCGAGTGCCGCTGTGTCAGCAGTGGCAAAGACCAAGTCGTCAACGTACACGAGGATGTAGAACGGCGGCAGCGAGGTGTCGGTGCGTAGAAACAGCGACGGGTCAGCAGTAGAGGGAGCGAACCCAAGAGCCGCAAGCGTCGTCCTCAGTGTGTCGTGCCACTCACGTGGCGCCTGTCGGAGACCGTAGACCGGCCGCTGAAGCCTCCACTGGGTGCCAGGAGGAACCGACCCAGTGAAGCCAGGAGGACGGCGCAACCAGATCTCCTCGTGCAGGCTGCCCTGCAAGAAAGCAGTGCTGAAGTCAAGTGAGTGAAGCTCGTAGTCGCGGTGAGCGGCTATGTGCAGCAGCACCCGAAGAGTGGTTATCTTCGGGGTGGGGGAGAAGGTCTGGAAGAAGTCGACTCCCTCTCGCTGACTGAAGCCTCGAGCCACGTAGCGTGCCTTGAAGACAGGAGGAGAACCCGGCGGCCGCTTCACCCTGAAAATCCACATGCCACTGACGATGTTCGCCCCAGGAGGGGGAACCTGGTCGACGTAGGTGCCTGTGGACTTCCAGGAAGCCATCTCTGCGTCCATGGCTGTCTGCCACTGAGAGGAGTAGGGACCCGCCATCGCCTCGGCGTAAGAGCGCGGGGTCGGGATGTCTGGTGCATCCGGGTCTCCCTCAGGGGCAACAAGCATGGACACGAGATGGGGCAAAGCAGCAGCAAAGCACTGGAACTCCTCCTGTCTGTCCTCAAGGACGTCCGTGCCAAGAGCACACTCACCCCCGACGGACGGAGGACAGGCAGACTCAGACTCAGACTCAGCGACAAGGCTGGCAGCGTAGTCTAAGCGACAGCGAGCAGCAAAGTCAACCAACTCAGCGACCAGAGCAGACGCAGCAGAGGACTCAAAGGTCGGGTCAGTGACAACTGTAGCGAGGAGACGCGTAACAGTGGGACTGGCCGCACGACGGGAGTCAGACTCCGGGTCAGGAAGAGTAGGAAGAGAGGACGCAGGAGGAGACGGCAGCGGGACACGCTGCGGAGCAGTGGAGGGACGCAAAGTCATGTAGTGAGTGCCAGGGACAAGAGGAGGACGCTCACGCGGGACACGACGACCAGTGCGAGTAGTACGAACAGGCGACGCAGGACGAGACTCAGGCTCACGACACTCTGTAAGACCTCCTGTGGGACCAGCGTAAGGAGAGGGAGCAGGGAGAGGCGAGGCAGGCGGTAACTGTGACTGCGGCTGGACAGGCAGAGGACACTCGACGGAGGGAGGAGGACTAGGAGGAGGAGCCTGACCAAGAACCTGCTGAAGGAGCGGTACGAAGTACGGTCGCGGCCGCGCAGCGTCTCCAGAACCAGCAGGGACACCAGCGGCAGCCCCAACGCCCGAGTCCTCAGCACCAGCAGCAGCTCCAACACCCGGGTCCTCAGCACCAGCAGCAGCGCCACCGGTCGGGTCCTCAGCACCAGCAGTAGCTCCAACGCCCGAGTCCTCAGCACCAGCAGCAGCTCCAACGCCCGGGTCCTCAGCACCAGCAGCAGCTCCAACGCCCGGGTCCTCAGTACCAGCAGCAGAGCCACCGGTCAGGTCCTCAGCACCAGCAGTAGCGCCGCCGGTCGGGTCCTCAGCACCAGCAGCAGCTCCAACGCCCGGGTCCTCAGCACCAGCAGCAGCTCCAGCGTCCGGGTCCTCAGCACCAGCAACAGCGCCACCGCTCGGGTCCGCAGCACCAGGAGCACCACTCCGAAGACTGCAGCGCCGTGTGTACCACTCTCGGATCACCTGAATGGGGGGGAGCTCCTGGGTAGGAGGGGAAGTACTGGGACGAGCTCCAGAAGCACCTCTCCGGAGGCGGCAGTACTCGAGGTACCTCTCCTGCAGCTGCTGGGAGGAGAGGGCTCCTCCAGGTGTAGTACGCTCAGGCTCAGCACCCGAAGACTCAGCACCCCCAGACTCAGCACCCCCAGACTCAGCACCTCCAGGCTCCGCACCTCCAGGCTCCGCACCTCCAGGCTCAGCACCCCCAGGCTCCGCACCTCCAGGCTCAGCACCCCCAGGCTCCGCACCCCCAGACTCAGCACCCCCAGACTCAGCACCCCCAGGCTCAGCACCCCCAGACGCAGTACGCGAGTCAACAGCTACCTCGACAGGCTCACCCGGGTCTACCTGGGACACACCTGAGGGAGCGGCACCCTGAGGGGGGAGGGGGTCTGGTACCTCAGCACCTGGAGCGAGGAAGAGAGGCGGGGGGGGGAGCGGGGCAGTGCGGTAGGGGAAGAGGCGGTAGAAGGGGACGGACTCGTCAAAAGTGACGTCCTGAGAGGCCAGAACCCGGCGCGAGGTGACGTGGTAAAACTGCCATCCAGGCGCGTCAGGCACAAAGCCAAGAAAGACACAGGGAACGGCGCGACGCGAGAGCTTGTCCGCGGACGTGTCGCGGACAAAAGCTCGAGATCCCCAGACCCGGAAACGCGACGCATCGCCAACCTCTCCCGTCCACCGCAGAGTCGGGGAAGTCTCCGGCAAGGAGACACGGGGCCAGAGGTTGAGCTGATGCGCAGCGTATCGGACCGCAAACGGCCACAGAAAGTGGGGAGCAGCCGCATGGGTCAGGGAGGTACGAGCGACCTCCATGACTAGGCCAATGCGGCGCTCAGCGACCCCATTCTGCTGTGGAGAGGCCGGAAGCGTGAACGACTGCTCAATGCCGTGCTCAGCACAGTAGGCTGCCAAGAGGTCGGAGGCGAACTCACCACCTCTGTCAGAGTGCAAGCGCAGGACAGGAAAGTCCGAGTGAAAGCGCTTGCCTAGCTGGAGACGGGCTCGGCTGATCCAGGGGATCAAAACACCAGGGACGTCACCCTTGGCGCGCAAGGGGAAGACCGTGGTGTAGCGCGAGTAGTCGTCAACAACTATCAGGAAGTACCTCTCCTGACCCTGACCACGGACGCGGGCTGGGCCCCACACGTCCATGTGGAGCGTCTGCAAGGGAGCAGTCGTCGGGGGAAAGGAGGAGGAGTGAGGAGCAGCGCGCTGCCGCCCCTCGACACAGGGAATGCAGTCAGGAGCAGGGGAGTCGGGAAGGGGAGGGAGCACCCTGGGAAGACCAGCAACAAGGTCCCGTTTGTGCATGGCCCGAAGGCGCTGCACAGACGGGTGACCAAGGCGGTGGTGCCAGAGGACAGTCTCATGCGCCAGAGAGCGACACGAGCAGGGGGCGGACAGCTGACCTGACGCAGACGCAGACGCAGCTACCTGAGGGGACTCAGTGGTCAGTGTGTACAGGTCCGACCCCGGCTCTCGAGTGAAAGTAGCCAGGTGGCGGCCCGTCCGAGCACACGTGCAGTGTGTCACACGCTCGTAGGCAGGGGTGAACTGGTGAACACCCCCGTCCTGCAGCGCACAACCTGCCACCAAGTTCGTAGAGAACGAGGGGAGGTAGAGACCTGAGAGCGTGCCGGACGGAACCGCTGGACACGGAAGTGTAGTGGAGGAG